GGCAGCTCCCGTCTTTGAGCTCAACAGCGTTGCACAGCCTGTCTGTCAATAGAACGGCTGGATCACTGAGCTAGCCGTTCCACTGGACCAGGCGCTAAGGTGCGGTGCATGCTCCGGGCAATGCATTGTTGGAGCAGCGCGATGCATGCTCCCAGCGGCCACACACGGGCATTCCATGGATGGCCCGTCCCTCTGCAACTTTGGAATGCTGGAGGGCGACGTCGTTATCCGCCGGCCCCCTTGTGGGGCCACCAGGCTGCGAGGCGCGTGATTCGCAGTTTCCTGTACCAGTTGTAGTTTGTAGTTTCCAGTGTTACAGTTCTGCTTCTTGCTGGTTACTGTAACTAGTTGACTTCTTGCTGGTTACTGTAACTAGTTGATTGACCGCGCGAGGGGGGGGGAGGCCCAAACGGGATTTTTAGCACCCCCTGGGCGCGTTGTCTGAATTGCTGGGGGGGCTCGAAATCGACACCCCTCACGCAGATCCGCGGGGTCAGGGTCCAAAAACACACGGGATTTGCCACATTTCTGAAATTCGGTGCCACCCCTCACGCAGATCCGCGGGGTCAGGGTCCAAAAACACATGGGATTTGCCACATTTCTGAAATTCGGTGCCACCCCTCACGCAGATCCGCGGGGTCAGGGTCCAAAAACACATGGGATTTGCCACATTTCTGAAATTCGGTGCCACCCCTCACGCAGATCCGCGGGGTCAGGGTCCAAAAACACAGGGATTTGCCACATTTCTGAAATTCGGTGCCACCCCTCACGCAGATCCGCGGGGTCAGGGTCCAAAAACACAGGGATTTGCCACATTTCTGAAATTCGGTGCCACCCCTCACGCAGATCCGCGGGGTCAGGGTCCAAAAACACAAGGGATTTGGCACATTTCTGAAATTCGGTGCCACCCTTCACGCACATCCATCGCAAGGCGTGGTAACCCAAACTGCGAGAACTCCCTCGGCCCTTTAATCGCAAGGTGTGGTAACCAAGCCCGTACACCATACACGTCTTACCAATCGCCAGGTGTGGTAACCCCTCTTGTGATCAGTTGGTTTTGCTGATTGCGTTCGGCTTCGCATGAAGTTTCGATACTGCTTCACAACAGCGCCAAGGCCTCATGACTTAGCTCTTCCATGGCCCATTCTCCGAGAGAGGGGGCCGGCGGCAGGGGGCGAAGCCCTTACGGATAATCGACGCTGGCTGCTCGCCTCTGTTTGACAAGGAGATGGCAAAGTCACAATTCAACAAGAATGTGATGAAGAAGTTCTGGGCCAGAGCTGGGCTTGTCATCGCGCCCGAGGAGCTGGCCAGATACCAAGGCTCATGGCAGAGTGCTTCGACGATGGCCGAGGCGCACGTCGCATTCGATTCTCGGTGGGACTCTCGCCGAAGCAGAGCTGGACAGCCTGCGCCTGCGTCTGTTCCCGCTCGTCCTCGCACCGTCCTCTCATCCAGCAGCGCTGAACAGCCTGCGCCTTGGCATATTCCTGCATGTCCTCACGTGGCCGAAGCTGAGTCAGGAGGAAGCAGCAGAGCTGGACAGCCTGCGCCCTGGCATCGTGCCACATGTCCTCATTTGGCCGCTGTCTTGGAGGAGCTCTCGGACGAGGTGCTGGAGTGGGTCACGCGCAACTTTCCCTGGGGCAAGCTGTCAAGGTACGGGCCCCTCTCTGACTGCACTGTCGGGTACCTCCCGGACGACGATTGCTGCACTGCTGAGGTCAAATTGGAGCTGCTGATCAGATTGACAACCAGACGCCGCGAGAGAATATGCAACGACTCCAGCATCGACATCCTGAGTGAAGAAGAGCTCGACCGTGCCTTGCGCGATTGGAAAAAAAGCGACTACGAGCAATGGATGCACCCCCAGACGCTGCGAGTGTGGCGGGCGGCATCGGGGCAGCCATGGCATCAAATGTTGCGCAAGGCTTTTCGCACGTTCCTTTTTCAACCCGCTGGGAGCTACGAGTTGTCCGTTTTCGTTCTCGTTGCTCCTTTCAGTGGTCGCAACTTGGAACTCTTCCGCAGCTCGTGGAACAGCTCCGCAACTGGCGCCAAAGCTCTTGAGAAGGCCAAAGATGCCCTACGCCAGGCGGCAGGAGCGATCCAGCATGGACAGACCGCCTGAAAAAAACATGTACCTATGTATGTATGTATGCATGTATCTGTGTATGCATATCTGTGCGTATGTATGTATGTATACATGTATGTTTCTATGGATTCCCTACCTAGGCTCTGCCTAGAAGGGTTCTTACCCTCTGTGCTTAAAGGGCCAGGCAATGGATCACGCCCCGGGCGGTCCCCCCGGCATCCGCCCCGCGGTTTCCCCAGTTGCGCCCCCTGGGTTCCCCAAGCTTAGCTAAGCGAAGCTTAGCTTAGCTTAGCTTCGCATATCTCGTCTTAGCTTAGCTTGGCTTAGCTTAGCGTAGCTTTGCCTAGCCTAGCTTGGCTCAGCTTAGCTTGGCTGATATCATCTTAGCTTAGTTGTTTTTATCTTAGCTTAGCTTGGTTTAGCTTAGCTTAGCCTAGCCTAGCTTAGCCTAGTTTAGCTTAGCTCAGCATAGCTTAGCTTACCCTAGCTTAGTTTAGCGCAGCCCAGCATAGCGCAGCGCAGCGCTAGCACAGCACAACACAGTATAGCATAGCATAGCATAGCCAAGCATATCGTAGCATAACATAGCATAGCATAGCATAGCTCAGCATAGCATAGCATGGCGCAGCATAACACAGCATAGCATTGATTAGCATAGCACTGTGCAGCATGACATCGCATATCACAGCACAGCATAGCATAGCATAGCGCAGCAGAGCATAGCATAGCATAGCATAGCATAGCGCAGCATAGCAAGAGCAAAAGCAAAGGCAATGCAAAGCAAAAGCAAAAGCAACACCAATGCGAAAGTGTAGATGTAGATGTAGGTGTAGGTGTAGATGTGGATGTAGGTGTAGATGTAGATGTGGATGTAGATGTAGGTGTAGATGTAGGTGTATATGTAGATGTGAGTCTCGCTGTTGATGTTTATGTGGATGTAGATGCAGGTGTAGATGTAAATGTAGCTGTCGGTGTAGGTGTAGATGTTGCTTTCCTAAATACTCCAACTCCTAGGTAGGGTCGCACTGGGATAATTTGTGACCCGCCCTAGGGTCCAGCCCTCCGTGGAGCCACGCCGTGCAACAAAATACGCCACGTCGAATGCCTGGGCCGCCCTGCTTCCTCCTCCCCCCCTTCTGCCTCCTGCTCCGGCTGCAGGCAGCAGGAGGCTGTGGCTCCGTTCGGCTGTGATGGCGGGGTGGGCCCTCCAGGCGCGGAGACATCCGGGCGCCTGCGCACTCCGCCCGTGGGCCCCTGCGGGCCCGCGACAGGCGTGCGCACCGGCCCTTCCTCCCTGGAGGCCCCGGCCCTCGCGCCTGCACGACGGGCCCTGCCCCACCGCGCGCGTGCCGAGCCCATGTCCGTGAGGCTCGGAGCGGGGCGGCGCTCGCTGGGTTCCTGCGGCGCTCGCGCGCGCAAAGGGCGAGCGGGAGCGCGGCGTCCCCGCCGCCCCCGGTCGTGGCAGGGGCCTCGCTCCCTCTCCAGTCCGGCAGAGCGCTCCGGACCGCGCAGCTGCGGGGCCCCCAGGCCTGCCTCCGCCCTCGTCCCTCCGCGTGCCTCCTCCCTCCTCCTGCTTCCCCTTCTCCTCCCTGTTGCTACTCCTGCTGGTTATCCTTGTCCTCCCGCTCCCTCCCGCCCTCCACTTTCCTGTTCGATGTTGCCTTCGGCCATCGAGGATCGAGAAGGAGGGAGGTTTCTGGCCGGCTTCTGGAAAGTTCTTCGACGTTTCCTGCTTTCGGGCCGGGGATGTCAAGAGATTATGACCAAGGGCGGGAGCACCTCCTCCTCCTACCTTGTCTATCGAAGCCCCAGATTCCGGGGGCCCCCAGCTCCTCCATTGTGACTTCTCACGACGTGGCTTCCCAAGGGCCTGGACCCGTTCGGAACGGACCCCTAGGGAATGGCCGGGGGGCGGCTTTTCATCCGAATAGTTTTTGGCAGTCCCGGGGCCTGCTGAGGGCCCCCTGAAGCTGAAGATGGGCAGGAACCCTCTGTCAGAAGGCATCAGAATGGGTTGAAAACAGCTCGACCCCCAGACTTGGACACGGCCTGGGGGTCTGCGCTGGATGGGCCCCCAAAAAATCCAACCCCAGACCTCGGACTTGCTTCTTGGCGGCTGAGGTCACCGCTGGGATTGAGGGCGGCGGGGGTCAGACGTGGATGATGCTTAGGTGGGTGAGATCTGGCCTGGCCTAGATGCTAAGTGTGTCACATGTGGCCTAAGTCGTTTAGGGTGATGGAAGGCTCCGCTAAGTGCGCTCCCCCTTTATAAACCATTCAGGGCACCTGCAACTCACTGATAAACTAGACTTGGCCAATGATACTATATATATACGTATTCAAAATATGTTTATATTTATCTATATGTATATATAAGAATATATGTATATGTATGTGTATATATGTATTTACATATAGATATGTCCTCGTAGCATCCGCTTCAAGCCAGATCCCCTTAGCACCCCCCGCGGTCATCCGAGGGGGGCCGAGCAGGTCGAGCCCAGATCATTGGAAAACAACTGGATTTTTCGGTCGCGACCAGCAATCACCGATCGGCACTCCAAATCGGTCGCGACCGATTTCCCGAATCGGTAGAGACCGATCTCGTCGGTCGCGACCAGAAGAATCTGACACCCAACGATCAGGGTGTCAGGGGCGCTTGGTTGCCGCGTCATATCTCGGACCCCGGCGGCCACGACTCTGGCGCGCCTAGGACGCCCTCGACACAGCGCCGCTGGTGGATACCGTCAGGGGTTTCGAAAGCTTACGAAAACGCAGAAACAGTCCGAAAACCGCCCTAAAGCTAACGACTCGAAACTTCATCCTCTGGCCGTTCCCCCATGATCTGGGAGACCGCCTCCACGCGGCCCGCGCTGTCCAGGATGTGGCAGCAGTGGGCCTGGACCTCCGCGCACGCGCGCGCGGGGGGGGGGGGGGGGCACTCGCAGGAGGAAGGAGCAGGATGAGGGAAAAGGAGGAGGAGGTGGAGGTGGTGGGGGAGGAGGAGGAGGAAAGGGCAGGAGGGGGAGCAGGATAAGGCGGAGGGGGAAGAGGAGGACGAGGAGGAGGAGAAGGAGGAGGAGGAGGAGGAGAAGAAGGAGGAGAAGAAGGAGGGGGAGGAGGGGGGCGGAGGATCAAGCTAGGTGCGCTCTCGTCATATCTGACATCCGACCCCTCCCTCCCATCCCATACTATGGCGTAGATCCCATACTCGCACAGCCGGATGTTGAGCAAGGCAATGATCCCGAAAAGGGTACGCGATGCATTGCAGAGCACGGCGTGGCATGGCGTAGAAGAGCACCGCAAAGCGTAGTATGTCACAGCGTGGCGTGGCGTAGTGAAAAATTGCATCACAAAATTTTGCAACGCAAAAAAATGCATCGCACAGCGGTCCCGAACATAACATTGCATATCATGGCGTTGAAGATCAAAGCGTCGCATGGCATAGCATGACGTGGCACTTACGCACTGGACATGACAGCTGCAGCTGAAGGCGTGGCATCGCGCAGCGGAACGCAACCTAGCATTGCATTGCATGCCGTGGCATGGCACGGGAGATGGCGCCAGCGCTGCAGCGGGAGCACGATTCGTAACGAGCGGAAGCGCGGAAATGAGGCCACCGCTGCAGCGGGAGCACGATTCGGAACGAGCAGAAGCACGGAAATGAGGCCAGGGCTGCAGCGGGAGCACGATTCGGAACGAGCGGAAGCCCGAAAATGAAACCCGCGCCTTAGCGAGAGCATCATTTTGACAAAAAAAACCCAGCGAACACCCAACTCCGGGAATTCCTGTGTAAAAAACCGTACGCGGAGGGGTGCCTGCTATCTTCCGCACGCCATCAGGGGATGGAGGAGAGTGTATTCATATTGTGAAATTGTGGAGGGGCAGCAGGGGGAAGAAGGGGGAGGAGAAGGAGGAGGAAGAGTAGGAGGAGGAGGAAGAAGAGAAAGAGGAGGACGCGGAGGAGGAGGAGGAGCGAGAGAACGTCCACTTGCGGATGCATGTCACGTTACGGCCGACGCGGCCCCGCGCCGCCCACGAGGCAGGGGGGAACCCCCCAGCGCGTCGCGCAGCGGCGATGGCTGCCGCGTTCATGTCGCAGGCGTTGTAGGACGGGAGAACAAGGGCCCGGGCCTCATTGATGGAGGCCGAGCCGACATTCACGCCTTTCTGGATGCGGTGGAAGTTGTAGGACCAGAAGGCCACGGCCAGGAGGGCGATGGCGCGCGGAACGGCGTCGCCATCGCTCTGCGCACCGTTGAGGCCCAGGCGCGCGATGATGTTCGGGGAGACTTGTCCGCGAGGAAGGTAGAGCTGGACCCGCATCCTCGGGCGGGAAATGTAGGGCGCGATGTCGTCAGTGTTCTTCTTGCTCTCGATGGTCGGGCAGCCGAAGAGGCGCGCGTGCTTGACGGGGTTGACGTGCATGCAGCAGCTCGCAGCCCAAGCGCCCGCCAGCGCCTCGAGGACATGCCAGAATTGCGACGGGGGGGCACGTGCGAGGTGAGGGCGAAGCACGGACCAGCCAGCAGCAAGCGAAGGAGGCCATTCTTCGATGTCCAGCATGTCGATGCTCTGGTTGCCGCTGCCGCCCTGGGCGGTGTCTTCAGGAAGCCAGCGGTCTTCATCGCGTACTTCCTGGGTGGTGAGCCAGCGGCGGCGGGCGCGATGCTCAACAGTTTCTTCGTCTTGGTCGCGTTGTGCCGCCGCTGTCGGGCGGCTGGGCTGGTAGAGGGAGTGGCGACGACTGCGGGCGCAGGACGCGCTGTGCCAACGGCGCTCGCAGATCTCGAGTGCGACTGCGCGACGGCGGCCGCCATCTTGCCAGGGGCCGGCGGCGCCGTCGAACACGTCGTCGAATTGCGGCCGACGGAGGCAGATGGTGAGGTGGGGGACGCGCCGCTCCATCCAGTTGCGGCAGTCGTCGTAGCTGGGGTCTAAATAGATGCTCGGGATCCATCGGGCGGCCCACGCTTCCGCGCGCTCCTTCATGTAGGCGAAGGGCTGCTCGGCGGCGGGCGTCTGCGAGGGCGCTGCAGTCGTCGGCATGGGTCGCGCGGCGAGGCATGCTTCGTCGAAGGGGCGAACAGACGGGAGGGCAACGATGAGCGGGATCTAGGCTTTCAAGCCCTTGAGGATGGTCTTGTCGAAATCGTCGGTGTAGAGGGCGGCCTGAGGCTCGTGCAAGTAGGCAGACTGCGGCGGTTTGCGTGCTATCTGCCTCCCTTTTCCTTGGGCCTTGCAACGACCCTCTCTTTGCATCGCGTCGTGGCGGGCGGGCGCGTCACGTCTGTGCCGACGTGCATTGTCAATGAAAGCTCGGCGACCAGCGGCTGCCGCGGGACGACGGGCGTCTGCCGGAGAACGAGTAGCGCGCTGAGGAGTACCAAGCACGCGCTTCAAGGTCTTGTGGATGCAGCCCTTGCAGGTCGGGGAGCGCAGGCCCGTGGCGATCTGCTCGAAGCGCTGCGCGATGGAAAGATCGTCTTCCAAGCAGCCAGCGCGCCAATGTCCTTGAACGACTTGGCAGACAGGAGGGCGATCCTCTGCAACTGCCCGGCGTTCGCGAAGTAGGCGCGTCCGCGATGTCAGAGTGGACGAGGCAGCACACCACGTGCTAGCCCAAAGCAGAGTTTCCCAACCCTGCGGCGTTTCCATACCCGTCCAGCGCTTGAAGGAGAAGATGTCTAATTTCGCGAAGCTGGAGGGAGCTGCTCGCAGTAGCTTTTGTAGCGCGTGAATCTCCTTGGCGGGGAAACACGGCGATGGAGGGTAGAGCAGTCCAGTGTAGGAGACGCAGGTGACGGCGGCGACGTTGTAGAGCTTGACGCTTCGCTGCAATGGCGAGCGTGCTTTTCAGAAAATCTGCGCCCTGCGCCGTCACTTGCCAGCTGGCGATTTCGCAGGGAGAGCGTGGCACAGGGGCCGACGAACGCACTCAGGTATAGCGAGCGTGGCTGGCGATCTTCAAACTTTCCATGGTGGGTAGATGTCGGCGAGCGCGGCTTGGATGGATGCGATCAGCGAGTGAGTGGGGAGCGCCCAGGTCTTGATGATGATGCACTTCTTGGCCTGCAACTGGAGTCCAGCAAGGAGTTCTGCAGCACGGAGATGAAGAAAAAACAAGGGGCACGCGTGCCAAGGATCATACAATGACGATGTGGGTCCATGGGAGATGGAGAAAACCAGGGAGGGAGGAGGGAGGCATGGTGGAGCCAAAACGGCTACGGAAAGAAACGCGCGGGCAGCCGTCTCCCTCGGCAGAATCCCCCTCGGCGCTTGCAGAGGTCAGGGTGTGCTAAGATCTCTGGTAGCGGCTTCAGAAGATGTGTAATTCGCGCGCGCGGGCCAGGGGGCCCGGGGAAGGCGGGGGGAGCGCGGGGGAGGGGGCGCGGGAGCCCGGGGAGGGTGGGGGAACACAGCGGCAAGGGGAGGGGGGGCGCAGGGAGGGGGCCGGGGGGGGGGCGCACGGTCGGAATAAGGGGAAGGGGCCCGGGGAGGGCGGGGGGAGCACACGGGGGGGAGGTGCGGGGGCCCGGGGAGGGTGGAGGGAACACGGCGGCAAGGGGAGAGGGGCGCAAGGGATGAGCGGGGGAGGGGGGGCGCACGGTCGGAACAAGGGGGGGGGCGCCCGGGGAGGGTGGGGGGGGGCACGGGGCAAGGGGCGCGGGAGCCCGCGGAGGGTTGGGGGAGGACGAGGGCAAGGAGAGGGGGGTGCAGGGGGGGAGCGGGGGGGTGGGCGCACGGTCGGAATAAGAGGAGGAGGGCCCGGGGACGGCGGGGGAGCATTCAGGGAGGGGGGCGCGGGGGCGCGGGGAGGGTGGGGGGAGTGCGGGGGCAAGGGCAGAGGGGCGCAGGCAAGCTAGGTGCGCGCGCGTCTTATCTGACGTCCTACCCCTCCCTCCCATCCCTTACCATGGCGCTGGCTTTTCCCTATCGGAGGACGCATCTCAGAGCGAACCTGGGACTCCGAAAAAGACCCCATCGCGCAGGATGATGAGGAAGATGAGTAGACCCCCATAGCGGACCTGGGGCAATCAGAGCACGATCAGCAGGAAGATGAGCAGGAAAAAAGGGAGGACGACGAGGACGAAGAGCAGCAGCAGGAACTGGAGTGGAAGGAACGGGAGGAGCAGGACGGCCAGGGGAAGTCGGAGTGGCATGGCACGGGGAATGAGGCCAGCGCTGCAGCGGGACTACGATTCGGAACGAGCGGAAGCGCAGAAATGAGGCCAGCGCTGGAGCGGGAGCACGGTTCGGAACGAACGGAAGCGCGGAAATGAGGCCAGCGCTGCAGCGGGAGCACGATTCGGAGCGAGCGGAAACCCGAAAATGAGGCCGGCGCCTCAGCGAGAGCAGCATTTCGAAAAAAACCAAGCGAAAACCTAACTACTGGGAATCCTGTGTAAAAAACCAGTACGCGGAGGGGTGCAGGCCATCTCCTTGACGTACCCAGGGGAGAGAGGAGAGTAGTATTCATATTGAGCAATTGTGAAGGAGCGGAGGGGGGGGGGCACGGTCGGAATAAGGAGAGGGGGGCCCGGGGGCGGCGCGGGGGGCACGGGGGAGGGGGCGCGGGGGCCCGGGGATGGTGGGGGGAACACGGGCGCAGGGAGAGGGGAGCGCAGGGGAAAAGCGGCGGGGGGGCGCACTGTCGAAATAAGGGGAGGGGGGCCGGGGGAGGGCTGGGGGAGCGCGAAGATGGGGGCGCGGGGGCCCGGGGAGAATGGGGAAAGCACGGGGGCAAAGAGGGGTGTGTGGACTGGTGCTGTCGCCCGAGCGTTTTCCACATCTCTCTCTAAGAGCGGTGCTGTCGCCTGCGCGCTGGCCGCATCCCATTGGGAACGGTACTCCCGCCTCAGCGCTGGCCACTTCCATTCCATTATCAGCATACCTACCGATGTG